CAACGAAAATGGGAAGAAATGCTGTCTGTTGTAAGCAGTAACACCTTATTTTATGAACCTACACGGCCTTATTTAATTAATGAAGCCGCGTTCATTTTATCTAGCCGTGTTTTTCTATTTTTGGCCGCGATAACACGGCCAACACGGCCCTCTAGCTAAGACCCTGACCCAGAGCCCGTCTTACACGCGGTCAACAGAGCATGACAAAGGTCGAGGGGAACGAGAATGGGTTGCGCCGCAACTGCAGATCAAAATTTAGCCTCTGAACGAGAACAAAATACCAAGTGTGCCGCTATAGATAACTAGCTCCTAATGATTTTTGGAGTTAGCAACACAGTAAGTAACTTCAGGCTTACATATATAGCAGCTAGGCTGGCTCGCCTCGCTACAAACACTCTTTAATTTTGAGAATATATATTATTTTGAGAGCATATATCTTGGTTGTGTTGTTTATTGCCAAAATTATTACCATTCTGGCGAAAACGAAATCACAACCAATTAAAGTACATCTAGTATATTGTCTTATCCATTATTTATACTGTGCTGTTGATGACTCGGTAATGTTGGAGTGTTGGACTTGCATAACATATTCTAACTACGTCATCCGTGAAAATTTGCTTATTACTTTGGTTATGAGGAGGTTATCAACGGCTGTGCTCTTCTTGGTTATTGCTGCCCTTTACCGGCTGAGCGATCGCCTTGAGCAGGCGTCTTGTTTACTATAAAATGTCGCGCTGTTCGATCAAATAGTAGTGCAAGCAATCATTGAACGTCCTTAATTGTGTTAAGACCGCGAGACACCGGACGCGATTCGATAACGTGGCGCGATTCGACAACGTGGTTTTTTTTTTGAAAGTTAATAAAACAGCCAATGAAAGGAAATTTTAAAAGATATTTTGAAAACCTAAACCAGGATCAAAGTTATCGGTCAGTGAAAATCGAAAATTGTGCCGCATTGTCGAATCGCGTCCGGTGTGTCTCGGCCTTTAGACTGATGTGTCGTTAGCAACTACGCCGCGATTTTTGATTCCTCCTGGTTAACACATCATATTCGGGTATGACGGTTTGGGTGTTCAACCAGAGCTAAAACATGTCGGATATAGTCAATTCAGCAGCTAGCGGAATTTATGTCTGTTTTCCACTAGCGAATTCTTTTCAATTAGGCCGTATTCTGTGGCACGAAAAGTCGCTTAGAAAATGAATTCCGTTGCCATGGTTCGGGCACTACTTTGAAACAAGATAAATAATTAGGATAAATCATACAAAGTCCAAATCCGCTTGTTGGCACTTCTCAAAACCTGCAGTTTTCGAGTATTTCTTCTTCGAAAACTCAAGATATCAACATCTTTCGCAATCAATCGCCGCCATTTTTGTTCAGGATACTTGGTGTAAAAAACACTATAAATGGCAATTTTCGCGGGCTCACACTCGTTCTTACATGAAGTTTCCAGCTTAGCATTTGTAAACATGGCGTCTTCTCATTCATGTTTACATTCATTTTGTATCAAAAATGTTTAGATTGTCGTAGAATTTGGCTAATGCTAGACAGGGACGAACGCAATGTTGCTCAAAGAAGTTTGCAATTTGTTAGCGACAGCATGGAAAGTAGCATGCACAGTTGAAAGTATCGAATATGCAAATTTGAAATTTCTATTATTATCGAGGTTGTTACTCGGCATTCACAAATGGTAGGTAGGTAAAACTTTATTTCACCACGCTAACCTCTACAGCAGAAAGCTGGGGGGCGTGGGAAATAGCAGTATGATCAAATTTTCAGGGGGGCGTGGGAAATAGCAGTATGATCAAACGAGTTGTCAGAGTATGGACAGAGAAGGTGTACCTTCATCCTCTGGTATCGATATTAATGATGAAGAAACGGAATCAGATGAAAGTCCACCCGTAAAGAAAATGCTGAGATCTATCGCCTACACACATAAAAACGCACAAGTTGTTACAAGTCTGCAAACAAGTTGTTATATATCTCTTCACAAGCTGTCGACAGGTTGCCTTCACACTGCTTGCTCTCAGTTGTTGTAACAAGTTTGGAACAAGCTGTTAACAACTTGTAAGAAGCTTAATGGCATTATCAGTCTTGTTACCAGGTTGTTCTAACAAATCTGATACAGTCATGATATAACAAGAATGTTACAAGGTTGACGACACCAGGTTGTAACAATATTGTTCTATCATGACTGTATCGGACTTGTTGGAACAACCTTCCTACAAGTCTGAATTTTGTCCCAAATTCTTATAGGAATTTTTCTTATAGGAATTCCTATAGGAAATTTTCGTAAGGGAGCTGAAGGGAATTCAATCAATATATAATTATAAAACACATATTTGTGATGTTACTCCGAGTGTATATCCACACTGGGCAACTTGGAAAATATGCCTGCCCACGGTGGGATCAAACCTATGACCTTTGGAATACTAGCCCAATGCTCTGCCAACTGAGCTACGTGGTCAGGTCGGTTCGAGTATGTGATATTTCGGAACCGAGTCTAGTTCTCAATGCAATCTAGATCTCACTATCTCAGCATTTACAGTATCTTTACAGGTCCCAGGTGGAGTTTCACCTGATTCCGTTTCTTCATCATTATTAATATCGATACCAGAGGATGAAGGTACACCTTCTCTGTCCATATTCTAACAATGCACTTGAGCTCGTTTGATCATACTGCTATTTGTGAAAGCTGAGAAACAACCTCGATGATAAGAGAAAATTGCATGCTGTCGCTAACAAATTGCAAACTTCTTTGAGCAACATTGCGTTCGTCCCTGTCTAGCATTAGCCAAATTTTACGACAATCTAAACATTTTTTATACAAAACCGCACTAAAAGTTGTAAGTGGGCCTTTTTTCCCCTCAAAATGAATGTAAACATGAATGAGAAGACGCCATGTTTACAAATGCTAAGCCGGAAACTTCATGTAAGAACGAGTGTGAGCCCGCGACAATTGCCATTTATAGTGTCTTTTACACCAAGTATCCTGAACAAAAATGGCGGCGATTGATTGCGAAAGATGTTGATTTCTTGAATTTTCGAAGAAGAAATACTCGAAAACTGCAGGTTTTGAGAAGTGCCAACAAGCGGATTTGGACTTTGTATGATTTATTCTAATTATTTATCTTGTTTCAAAGTAGTGCCCGAACCATGGCAACGGAATTGAATGATATCGTGCCACAGAATACGGCCTAAATTTAAACAATAGCAAATTCGCTTCGCGCGAAGATATTCGCAAGTGGAAAACCGGCTTAAAGAAACTAAGTGTTATTAAATTCTGTTAATTTAACTTTTAGGTCGTGTTTTAAACCGATTCTCAAAAGACATAGGCTTGATGGATGATATGCTTCCGTTAGCGTTCTTTGATGCTTTTCAGGTTAGGATGGATAATTTTCATCTGGAGACTTATCACTATGGTTGTGCTTGCAGTTCGTGTTGGGTTTCGGTTCGTTTCTTTCTGTTCGTTCGGGTTTCGGTTCTTACGGCTGCTCTCCTGTTAAGCGTTTTTCATACTCGTGCGTAGAGCACGGAAAAATTGTAATGCACAGACCCATTGTTAAGCCTGTTTTCCACTAGCGATTTTTTTCGCGCGAAGCGACCTTTTTCCTTTGTCGGCATCCATTTTGCCACGTCTTGCTGACGTAATGAGTGATACCGACAAAGGAAAAAGGTCGCTTCACGCGACAAAATTCGCTAGTGGAAAACCGGCTTAATAAAATGGGGCTGGCTGCATGTCATTGTCGCAAACGCGACATACCATTGAGGCACCGCAGGCTTAGTTGCAGTGCTCCAGTGGCCTATGCAGTTCAGTTTCAAAATGGAGGTCATTCGTGGAGTGGGCAAAATGTTTCGAACAATTCAACGAATTGTACCTTTTTTCTATGGATTTCTGTCCAACTCTAGACTTTCTTTGCGAGTTTTATTAATGCCTTTTTCTTTGTGCACGACTCTGAAAATCCGAAATTTGGATCGTTGAATTCCCGTGAAATCGTGAACATCATAATATTCTGAATATAAACGAGCCAAGGACAAGTTCAGCCATTCAGGGTAACTATATTGCTGTCATATCAGTACAATTTATGCAACAACAGTCCATAATAATTACCTGTGGAAACGTGAAAACTTTAATGTGAATGATGATGTTGTAGTGGCCTCGTGTCTTTGTCACAATCGTGTGAATGTGAACCCTTCAAATAATGCTATGGAACGTAAAAGTTTAAATCTGTATGTGTAGAAAGTGTGTGTCAGTTTGCGGCGTTTCGTCGAATGGACTCGTCAGCGATTCAGCGCGTAAGGTTTTCATCGGAAAACTTTAAAACTGTTATTGACCTTCTCGCTATTTCTTTGTTTCGAGAAAATAATTTTACCTCTGGCAACCAAATTTATTTCGAGAGATTCTAGTCTGCAAGACTGCATGCAACTGAATATCTTTTACAACATAACCTACAGGGTTACGGGGTATTTAGGTTGCAATCCTGCTTTATCGTGCGACAAAGCAAACCGCAAACGCCCGAGCGGACGTTCACTTATTACTCCGTCTACATGCGCATGTGCATTAGTCATTCTTCTGTTGGTTCTCCAGATGGGGGGTGTTAAATTACTCATAGTTATTACCGATACAGAACATACAAAAGGTATGAACAACGTTTTTAGGGAATTGAGCCCAAACCACATTTTGTGTATTTTGCCAACCGAGACCAGTGTGAATGCCTGAGCAGGCGTCTTGTTAAGTAAATAAAAGCACAGTATTTTGCGTACGTGTATGAAAAACGCCTAACAGGAAAGATGGCGGTTCCGATTTGTGTGGTTCAAAGTTGTCGTTCGTGCAGTTGGCGGCCTCTGTTCCTGCGGTTTAATGTTGTGGTTTGTACGGTTCAAGGTTGTGAAGGTGGTTGATTCAGTTTAGGGTTGTGCACGTGGTTGGTTCAGTTTAAGATAGTGGTTTCATATATATATTTATTTATTTATATATACAGGGTGTATAAAAAAAAAAACTGAACAGATTTGAAATTGCTCTCAATTTCGCAAAACACCTATTTGTATCTGTTTTTTTATATATATATAGCTTCTTTGGGTACTTATAATGTAAAATAATGAAAAAAATTCTCGAACTCAAATTTTGTGAACCAGGGAGGTGTGTCTTTTCCAACAAACTAAAAATGGCTCGCGCACAAAATTTAAAAGCTGTAATCATATTTTGAGTTAACAGATTGAAAATTTGTCGGGTTTTTAATTACTGTACAAAATTTCAGACAATTTGGTTTAGTTTAAGCCTTTAACTATTCATTTTGTTCTAAAAAGTCAGCCTTTCGCATGCTTAATTAATGCCTTTACCTAATTTGTATATTGCTGACATATGCAAATTAGGCAAATGCATTAATTAAGCATGCAAATAGCTGATTTTTCGGGAAAATTGTAACTGCGTGAATAGTTAAGGGGCTTAAACTAAACCAAATTGTCTGAAATTTTGTACAGTAATTAAAATCCCGACAAATTTTCCATCTGTTAACTCAAAATATGATTGCAGCTTTTAAATTTTGTGCGCGAGCCATTTTTAGTTTGTTGGAAAAGACACACACCCCTGGTTCACAAAATTTGAGTTCGAGAAATTTTTTTCATTATTTTACATTATAAGTACCCAAAGAAGCTATATATATAAAAAACCAGATACAAATAGCTGTTTTGCGAAATTGAGAGCAATTTTAAATCTGTTCAGTTTTTTTTTATACACCCTGTATTTTCCGTATTTTACAACATTTCGTAACCAAATTTTGCAATTTTACTAATTCTAATAAGTTCTTTACGGGAATTTACTCTTTTTTTGCCTAGATAAAAAAATAGTCTAACATGCAAGTTGTCTATTTGTAGGGTCGATTTCTGCATCGTTTCACTGAATGTTTATGACGAATATTTTCAGTTGATGATGTCGTATTTGCAACTATATTGCTTTATTATGCTCACATGCTGACAGTGGATACCTTGAGAAGTATATTGATCCAGCCCTAGAACGTGATCCAAAACTTATTCACACCTACGACTGGATGAAAATTAATTACTTATGAGTACGATATGTCTTTTCAGAACCTCAATTCTTCGCAGTAAGCTCAATCCTCGGCTTTGCTTTGGCTCTGCCTCGGACTGGAGGAACAAAATACTCGGACAAATGTCATCCGGTCCCTATTTTTTATTACATCTAGAATTATATCCAAGTTTAAAATAAATCGACCCGACAAATTGCAATGTTTAAGGGGACCGCTCATTATTTATACCCTATATATATGGTGGAGTGGGTAAACATGGAAAGGGGTTATACAATGTTCACCTTTCCTGTGGTGGGTCTTTGATTTTGTTGGAATCTTAGAAGTGTTAAAAAAATTGTGGCACCTGTTTTCTACATAGTCAAACAATCACATATACGATTAGAATCGCATTATGTAGTCTGAGGGGGACATACACTTTTATATAATTAGGGGATCTTCATTATTAAGAGCATCATCAAGGGGGAGGGGGATCCCATGAGATTTTTCTATATGCAGGCTTTTTTTCAGGGATTTTTTAGGGCCGTTAAACGGCCCCAAAAACTCAATCTTGAATTGAGTTTTGAAACTCAATCTTCTCACCAAAGTTTCAGTGCAGTAAAAATGAAGTTGTTTGAGTTAAATTCTTGACGTGTGCAAATTTGTTTTCAGTTGGAAACCCGACAATTAAGAAAAATGGCTGGAATTCATCTCACAACACAAGAAAAACTATGGATTCGCCATCTTTAACCAGTTTATAGTGTCCCTCAGTGCCCCTGCTTTAACACATTCCGTTTCAACTACATTTAATGAGTACAAGTGTCACTGTAGGTAGGGGGGGGGGGTGCAACCACCCCAGCTGTTCAGCTAAACTCAATCTTCTCTGCAAAAACGGACCCAAGAGAAAATCCTGAAAAAAACCCTGATATGATATAAGAATCTTCCACCCCACCATAAGGTATAATAATGAACAGTCCCCAAACGTAATTAATTTGCTGAGAACAAACATAAACCGTGTAATAACTCAATATTTGTGTGAAAAACAAGAGAGAAATTAAATGGCATTTCGAATTGGCTCATATTCACGAGGTTGGAATTCAAGAATCCGACAATTTAAAATAGAATTTCGTCAGTATAAAAACAGAAAATTGATTTAATGAATACATACAGTAAAGTAAATTGATGCTTTCTGGCCATTTGGAAGTTCAAATTCTTGGGGAAAGATGTCCTGAAAATAAATATCACTTCTTCAATCTTTTTGAATTACCGTTTTTGGTATATAAGCTTTAATACCGACATAACAAATTTGAATAAAACAATTACAGTACGTAATATTCACTCTTTAACACTGCAAACTCTCGCGTACAAAGCGTACTGTACGCTGGGGGTCATCAATCCTCATCATTCCTACTCTCTGTTATGCGTGTGAAAATGCTGATAATTGTGGATGACCCCTTACCTTTACCCTATCTATCAGATTTATCTTATTCGCTGCCCACCTGTTATTGGCGTGCAGTGTTACTACAGTATAAGCAGCCGGTGCATTTGGAAAACCCTGGAATTTCAGATAGAAATATAGCTTGAGAGTAAATTCGCTGTTTTCACCACTCGTATTGTTGCACAACTTTGAAAATAATAGTTTTCTATTTCATATCCTCCCCACTCAAATTATTTTAAATCACCATCTCGAATTGTTGACAACGTTGTATCCCAGATTAATAAACCACGTTGCAGTCATGTTTCTCGAGGTTGCACAATATAGTAAATGTTAAAGAGGTTTTCTTAATACATGAACAAACATGTGGATATGCTCCGGTTGTTTGCTCGAAGGCAGCATAGACACGGCGAACAGACGTGATAAAGAAAGCCAAGAGACAGAAGAATGCAAGTTTAGAAAGATAACTTGTGAATCTTGTGATGAACAGTTGGTGTACGTTGATTATAAAAAACACCAGTGTACGCTAAGAAAAGAAATCAACGAAGTTAAATCACGCTTGGATGAAATGAGCGATGCACTAAAACAAGTTGTTCTTACTCAAGGGGAAGTACTGGAAAAGCTCAAAGTCAACGACAAAAGTATTAAGGATATTCAAAATACTCTACAGTATGTCACACATTTAATTGAAAACTGTCTGTTTTTCCCATGTAACAAATCATTTTCGTTCCTTCACGGGAAGAGAAAAATGCTTTGTGGTGGCATGGATTCAAAGCGAATTTAATAGCCTTCTCACGGCCTATTTACCCGCGATTTTTTGGGCACTGCCTCTCGCACGTTTGAGAGTCGCCGCACCACGAAATACAACTTCTTAGTATTGTAGTTGCTTGATGTATAATGGTAAATTTACAATAAAGAAATATACAACTTTTAAAAGTCGCTCTTCACGTTGTTTGAATTGTCTAGAATCTTTCACGAGGGCAGACAGTACCCCAAAAATGGTGGATTTTCGCCTTCGTGAGAAATTCTAATTAGCCTTTCTCACACCGCCATTTTTGGGGTACTTTTTTGCCAATCCTGCGAGCGTAACATCGACATTTTATGATTTGGTGGGTGTATGATCATGGTAAATTTACTCTGTAAATAGTTAGTTTGTTCTGAAATATTGCTTTTCACATTGTTATAATCGTTTAAGAAAAATTACAGTACCCCAAAAATGGCAGCGTGAGAAAGGCTAATTGAATTCTTTAATCCAAGTGAGAGCGGTTTCATCTCAAATTTCCTGGAAAATTACCAGCTTGCGGTGATAATGGTGTTCAGTTTGGAAATCGAATTATTACTTTCATGGGCGTACGGGAAGGAAAAAATTGGGGGAAGGAAGGAACTTTGCTGGAAATGTTGTCTATCTTGAGTTCCTATTTTCAAACTGTGAATACAATGTACAGTATATATGTATGGTTTACTGAAGAAATATATGTGATCCTTAAACACAACTTAACATTTTCACACTCCATTCCAGCCTAGTATCTTTACCAGGGGTGACCTGTTAATCATTTTGAACCAGCATGGGTGTTTAAATTAATAATATTTAACAGGTGACTTTAAATCACTCAACATTTGTGAGACAAAGTCAAGGGCACAAAGGTGGACAAATAAAAGTTAAACTAGGAGTAAGGAGTTGCTATCATAAGGTGTTGCCTCAAACGTGATGCTCTCAAAAATTAAATTGGCAAAAGGCCTGTGCACACATTGGGATATTGTGCATTGGTTAAAATGTAAATAACACCATGAAGGAGCACATTGCTCTATAGGGAGAATATTGCTCTTATAATATAAGGAGAATATATATAAGGAGAATATTGCTCTTTGAACAGTGGAATGAGTGCTTAAGCAAACAGTGGCTTTAGTGAATTTTTGAAGACATAAACAAATACATTTTACATATAATACACATTCATCCAAATGGACATAAAAAACTAATCGATGGCCGATAGCAAATCAAGTGATGAACATGATGATATATAGTGTAATATAGTCAGTAGTCTTGTTAATTTAGTATAATATAGTGTAGTAGACGCCCCCCATGAAAACCAGTCTGTAGCTGATGGGGCCAGCGTCTTAAAAGAAGTTTTAAATACAAAAAATAAATACAATACATATAGCGAATTCTGGAGTGAATTCTGGAGTGAATTCTGGAGTGAATTCTGGAGTGAATTCTGGAGTGAGTTCTGGAGTGAATTCTGGAGTGAATTCTGGAGTGAATTCTGGAGTGAATTCTGGAGCGAATTCTGGAGCGAATTCTGGAGTGAATTCTGGAGTGAATTCTGGAGAAACATTATCAGACATAGGCATATCGTACACAGGGCAAATGCTAGGAAAAATCAAGAAATCCAGGCAGATTTAAAAAATGTTAAATTCAGGCTATTCCATTTCAATCCTCAATGGTATCAGAGTCATGAATTGAATAATATAAGGAGAATAGATATAAGGAGAATATTGCTCTTTGAACAGTGGAATGAGCGCTTAAGCAAACAGTGGCTTTAGTGAATTTTTGAAGACATAAACAAATACATTTTACATATAATACACATTCATCCAAATGGACATAAAAAACTAATCGATGGCCGACAGCAAATCAAGTGATGAACATGATAAGATATAGCGAATTCTGGAGTGAATTCTGGAGTGAATTCTGGAGTGAATTCTGGAGTGAATTCTGGAGTGAATTCTGGAGTGAATTCTGGAGTGAATTCTGGAGTGAATTCTGGAGTAAATTCTGGAGCGAATTCTGGAGCGAATTCTGGAGTGAATTCTGGAGTGAATTCTGGAGTGAATTCTGGAGTGAATTCTGGAGAAACATTATCAGACATAGGCATATCGTACACAGGGCAAATGCTAGGAAAAATCAAGAAATCCAGGCAGATTTAAAAAATGTTAAATTCAGGCTATTCCATTTCAATCCTCAATGGTATCAGAGTCATGAATAGCCAGACTGCAGAGTTGGTCAACGTTGCACTCGATATTTTTTTAGGCACAAATTTCAGCGCACCTGGGATGTGCTTTATAACAAATTTTGCAATTTAATCTGCCCTCAAATCTCTAATTTTCATTGTTTTTAAAACGTATCTCGCTACTTTTGTGCCCTTGACTGCATTTTGATGCGCACTTGGGAACTGTTTTGCGCACCCGCACTTCGATTTTCTAACATTTGCGCACCCGAGATCTCGTCGAAAAGTGCCCAACTCTGCAGTCTGGATGAATAATATAAGGAGAATAGATATAAGGAGAATATTGCTCTTTGAACAGTGGAATGAGTGCTTAAGCAAACAGTGGCTTTAGTGAATTTTTGAAGACATAAACAAATACATTTTACATATAATACACATTCATCCAAATGGACATAAAAAACTAATCGATGGCCGATAGCAAATCAAGTGATGAACATGATAAGATATAGCGAATTCTGGAGTGAATTCTGGAGTGAATTCTGGAGTGAATTCTGGAGTGAATTCTGGAGTGAATTCTGGAGTGAGTTCTGGAGTGAATTCTGGAGTGAATTCTGGAGTGA